CTATAAACGCAGGTGGTAGATTACCATAACAAAATAGATGCATATATATATATATATATATATATACATTGTTATTGATATGAATTTTAAGATTGATGTTAAAACAGCTGTCAACATTTTTCACATAATACATCAGTAGTACATAGTGAAAGACACAGAATGGATAGCTATTCATAGAATTAAGCCATCTTTGTGTGCACAAAAACAAAGGGAGAGAGAGAGAGGGAAAACAAACAAACGATAAAATTCATCTCAAACTAATGCAATCCAAATTTCCTAAAGGGTTTGGTTGTGTTGTGACGACAGTGACTTGAATACCACGTCATCAACTATGTTGTAACGGAGTGTTAGTGATTTTTGTGGTTGTTCTCTATCCTGACTACAATCTGCCTTTAGACAAACGGTCAGTCGGAAATATCCCCCCACAGTGTGAGATAGACACAGAAGTTAGATATACGTGAGACAACTGCGACAACAACAATTTTTCTATTCACAATACAGAGTCTAGTAACAGTGAAGAACAGATACCACAGTCAAGTGGCCTTGAGCAGCCAATCACATGCTTCAAGGCAATAACTGGTATTTATAGTGTAAAAAAGTATGCTTATTGAATATACGTATAACAGAAGTGAATTGTCATAAGTTGACATCGGTTAGAGAACCACTGGAAAGCCTGAGAGTACTGGAAAGCTGTTTCATCCTAGTTTGGGACTCTTCATCAGTACGCAACCAGTGGGATTCGAACCCAGGACCTTCTGGTTACATGGTGAGCTCGTAGACCATTAAGTCACTGGGACCCGACCCAATGGCTCATGAATTCTAATTTCTGCCAATTCACGACATAGTGCGACCACTTCGCAATGTCTTCTTCGATGAGTAACTGTCCTCACCTTCGACTTGCTGTACCCTATTGGTCACACCGATATCAGCTCATGATGAAATCCTCCATCCATTTAAACAAAATCCCTACAAACTAATACCTCAGAAGTGGATTATGTCGTCTATATGTCTCTAATATGCTGCAAAAAGAGGTTTCAGTTTTCCATAAATAAACCACAATCTGTATAAGTACCAGTCATAGGATCCACTAATTCTGGTGAATAATTGACTTTATGATGAATATAACCCTATAATGATAGTCATATTGCTCAGCATTTCAAACGGGTGCTACCAATAATCATTGTTGTAAGTTTTATCCTAACCCAAATCTTCGTCGCAAGTTTCAGCCTAACCTTAACGACAACCCTGGCTTAATCCTACCAGAAGCTTGACCTTGAATCAGGGTGAAACTTCTAAGATTACGAAAAGCAATCATTTGTAATGCTGAGTGATCTGATAAGTTGGTTCAAGGTCATTCGATTGTGTTGTATTATTCTCTACTCTTGCCCAGAGTCTATACCTCGTTTTCACATAATTAGATAATACCAACTTATCTCATGAATCATGACCTTATGGCTAACAACGATATGTTGTCCGTCTTAACAGATTGACCGTAAATACTTAGACGGGGCAACCTATAAGAAGCCTAGGATCTACGTCTCATGCCTTTCATAGATACGCGTTGTTTCACAAATGTCAGTAAGCGTGAAACGTAGGTCTAAAGCTTCCTGCCGATAAAGTGCCCCCTACCTTAGTGACCACAATGCAGATTTGACTGGTACACTTCATTCAGCACTAAGAATTGTAGAATAGCAGAACGACAAAGACTGCTACCCTGATGACTTATCAAGCAGCTAAATTGTTTTAAAATAATAATAAGGGTTACTGGAAAAGATCTGTCTTAACGAAACAGACTAGTTTTATTATATACATTAATTAACCTATCTGAAGTATGTTCATGTGAATAGTGCAGTCATATCTGAAATGAATATTAAAAAATCCCTGTGTTCACAAGTAAATATGAATTGAAATCAACACATGTCAATCTATTTACAGTTAGCCTGAAATTACTTGTAAACAGTATAAACTCTGGCAGAAAAAAATAATTGGAAAAAAATACTGTCTTTTTTCATACTAGCCAACATATATTATTCCACTAGATGACGTTCGTTGTTCATGATTACATTGAGTATATCTCTGTATGCATTTTTGTCTGTTGTGGAATTGTATATGAAGTAAGATTGACTGAACGAAATGGGCATACACTTAAATGCATATATATATATATATATCTGATAAATTACCATCACTATTACTTTTTTTCAAGTGTTGGACTGTATGGATTCGATCGATTTCAGAATGGATTTCGTTATGAATTGAAATCAGTCAGGGAATTGTTGAAAAATGCTGACCACAGATCAACAGCCTTGTCTTAGTCGAGGTATACAGTAATACAACAGTAATTGAGAAGTTTTATAGCTCAGGTGGATGATTTTGATTCAGTTGTGTGCTCTGAGCTGGTTGGTTGATTTAATTGCGAAGCTTTCGATGTCCTTCTAGATAACAATTACAGTGCAGGCTTTAATATAAAGTGAACTTGTTTGAATTCTGTATGAGCGATGATATAATTGTATCTCCCGACAACTTCGCTTGGGTTGTGATTGGTTGTATAGGGTATTCATTCTTCTTGAAGACAATTAGTCGATATTTCTCTTTTGTTCTCTTCAACAATTGAGTGTTTCGGTGTGACATTACATTGGTCAAAGTGGGCCTACCCTTCGAATCAGAATGCAAGAAAGCAAATTAATTGAGGAAACACACGATATGTCTTCTTTCGTATCAAAGCATGTAGACAATCACAGATACCAATTTGGTTGGAAGGGTGTGGAAGTTATAAACAGGGAGAAACAAAAATGTCACGATATTTCTACAAACCTGGTACTCAGATGAATTAGCGGTTAACAAGCACACTACTATAGGTCAAATTTACCAACTAATGAAAGATAAATCACGTGACAAGAAAGTTCAATAAAAATGATCCATAAAGACGTAAATTGACAACCAACCACGATAAGGGTTGTCTGAGGATACAATAATATCATCATTCATAGAAACTTCAAACAACCTCACTTTATATTTAAGCCTACGCTTAAGATGTTGTCTAAAAGGACAAGAAAAACTTCACAATTAAATCAACCAACCAACTGAGAGAACATAACTAAATCAAAACTACTCAATGGTGCACACTAACGACTCCGTTGGTGTTCTAACCCAAGAGATTGAAGTTATAAGACCAGCTACTCGATCGGAATTCAATACCTATGAATAATAAAACTTATGTCAACTTGTGACATAGTACTACACCGCCAACCAATTTTTCTGATTAAATCTACACTGATATGGATTAAGACCCCCCTAGCAATCCCAAAAATCGAAAGCATCAATCTTCAGCTCATTATGTAGTTGTAAGGCGTATATCCTAAAGTTCCAATGACTGCTTGTAACCAGTGAGTTCCACGATGTTATGGTGAGGTGATGGATGTTTATTGATGGCGTGACTGACGCTAGCGTTACATAGCGGATTGATGGAAGTTAAAATTTATGATCACTGCAGTCCAACTCAGTGGCCAAATAGTCAATAGACTGGCCTCCTAACGTGAAGGTTATGGGCTCTATCTCTCATGAATTCGTTAGTTTCTACTGTTTAAGGAGTCCTAAATGAGTATGGATCAGCTAGTTTGTTCAGTGCTCCCTTAGTTTTCAATGATTTCTGTTTGTAACTAATCTACATTGTTATTAACATTTTCGTTTTTATTGTCAGTATTCCTCTATTGTGTTTTTTGTCTAAAGTATTAGCTGTCTTAATGCGGGTACTCAATGATTTCATATTTTATATTATACCCGCTTTTTCAGTTGATAAAGTGCACAGGGTGAACAGGAATCTGGGCAACAGTCATGCCTATTTTCTTGTTAATAGTCTATTTTATGCGAGAAAGCATTGGTTTTTTGTTTCATTCACATACAAATGTACTTATTTTCTTTTGCTGTCTTTCCCCCTTGTTTTCGTTGACATACCCTGAAGCGTACTCACTGGAGCATTAAGTTAATTTAATGCTTTGTATATATTTGAATTTGATGGTGAGACTATCTGAGTTGGAAGACTTGTACTGATATAATGGGTGGGTGGTGATTGTGAAAATGATAAGAGTGACAGGATTGGAACTAGTTGTTTTCAAAATCAATAGTCCCCGACAGTGGATTAGCTGAGTTTTGAGAAGACCCCACTTACCAGTAGCCAGGTGATCATTTCACTGGAGTAACCATGGGGAATGCATTGAATGACTGACTGATTGACTAAGTTTCAACATCGAACTTTGCACAGAAATGCACCAGTTCAACTTGCCACACTCTATGTAGCACACAAAGGTAAACAAATGAGAGAAAAGGATATTTGAAATAACATTAATAAGCAGAGATGTGAGGAAGAAAGAATGGTAATATGAAAAAAACATGACTTTGGAAGGTCATGGAGAGTGAATGCATTTGTGCCATTGAGAACAAGTTTGAGCCATATCACCAACTGTCTCTAGTCATTGGTTCTTAGAATCCTGAGGACCTTAACCTGTGATAGCCTTCACCTCCCTACGTGTCTGATTCAAATCAACTGTTAAAGGTTTCACGGACTGATTCTGTCTTTTCGTTTGACCACCAGTGGCTCTTTTTCAACCTGATTCTATGTCAGCTAACATTGCTCGTCCAAAAAGGCGATGACTAGGCTTACGTGTTTTAACCACCCCAATCGATATGGCTTCACAAGCTCATTGGAATGACTTTCCCTCTTTATCTAACACTCGACGCCTAAGTTCAGTATTACTCACCATATTATAACAGTTAACATGGGAGTTAGGATGAAAGATGGCCAGTGTTTTCATGTTGTCCACTTTCAATGGCCATGTTTCACAGCTAGGGGAATGCATTGTTATTCATGACTAGTTAAAAGTGTATCTTTAGTGTCATTCATATATCTTGCTTGTATATAACTGTCTATATATATGCTTGTGTATATGTGTATTATGTGTATAATAATTTTCTCAATGTTTTCGCTTTCTTATGTTTTATAGAATCTACGTGCAGTGATGTACAGTCTACAGACAACACCTCGGCATACTGTTAAACGTATCGCTGGTCGCATTGTACCAGCGATTGCAACGACAACAGCCACTGTTTCAGGATTAGTGTGCTTAGAATTATTAAAGTATATATTAAACACTAATACTACTATTAATAATAATAATATACCGAGTGATTCGTCTACCCAGTGTGACACAATGCCGATCACCACCTCCTCCAACATCAGAACCACTGCTGAAACAACAACAACAACGACTAAGACACTTTTATCAATGACATCAGATGACTGTGAAAAATACCTTAATCAGTTACAGGCTAGAAATAGCTTTCTTAATTTAGCCTTACCAGTTCTCATTTTCAGTCAACCAGGAGTATGTCGGTATACGCGTTTACCGAATGGAAAAAGTTTCAGTCTATGGGATCATTGGTGTATTGATCCATGGAAGTCGGTGGATAACTATTTGTTAAGTGATTTTATTGAGCAAATTAAGGTGAGTAGTGTTTTAATGTAGTAATAATAATGATAATTTTAAAATATATCATCAGTGTTCAACGCTTGAAGATGAACTTCGTCCCGGACTTGACCCAAGATGAACTGAAGGCCAGTCAGTTAAACCCTTAAGAACCTAGCAGTTTATTACTGATAAGTTACTATGAAAATACGGCTAATTGCCTTTCACTCTCATATGAGTCACGAGTTTGATCCCCCTACCCACTTACTTCAGTCTAAACAGCTGAATAGTATTCTCTGTCCACTCATTACATTATTGTGGCTCATAGTTAGGTACACTAAGATCATCCATTCTGGTTAATAGAATTCTGTCTAATATTAGTAGTGTGATTTCTTTTCGTGTGAAGACAGGTAGTATGCTCACCTATGACACTGGGAATCTACAGAAGTCGGAAATTATGATTCACAGTGATTGGCCGAAATAACCACCACATAATTGACACAAATTAACAAGATTACTGTATTTCTTCCCTTTTTTGTCGTTTCTGCCTCATTGTTCTGACTTTTTTCTTACTCAGCGAGTTATTATCGATGTGTCGGTGGTTCAATGGTAGGATGAATTCTCGCCAACCACACATATGGCCTGGAGTCCGACTCCCGACTGACTCACTTCTCTTAAGCCTCACCTTGCTTACCAACCTGTAGGGTAGTAATTCTGGAGAAAGAGTGGAGGTTGAGCGTGAAACTAGCAACCTCACCCTGTGAAAACAATAACGCCAACACGGCTACTGAGACTTCAAAGTTCGAAGTCATATGTCCCTCTGAAAACACAAAGGAGTGGAAAATAAAGGCAGAGTCCTTCTTCAGTGAATGAAATCCACTCAACTCAGCCAAATACCTATGGCTTTTTGGTTTGCTTATTGTGTAGGAAGTTATTATTTTATTTATTCTTTGCTGTTTTTCTAACACTACTCTTGAACTACCTTGACAATCAATCGATTAATGTTTATAACAAGATCATGTGAATAAAGTCAACTGAAAATAATGAAAGAGAGAGAGAGAAAAGTAGTCGATCGATAAACAATTTTTTTCTGAGTGACTGACTGCAGAGAATTACGATGAGTCAATTATTTTTGTTACATTTTGGCTAACTGTTTTGTTTAATGCCAAGAGACGTCTGATTATGTTTGACGTCTTCTTTTGTAAAGTATTTATTGATACTGAGACCATCTAGAGGAGATATCCCTGGATCGGATCGGTTAACTACCATCTATTGATGCAACTCAAGGATTCTAATCAGCGGGCTTTGAATATACAAATATCTATTAGACTTATTCTCACCTCAGTTGGGATTAATCATTCCACGGAGATTGGAACTCAGTAGTATTTTCTTATTTCCAAGCACCAGAAAGTGTTCTTTCTAAGGGGACATGCGATCAAGTAACAATCAACGGAAGTTAGTGTACGCTGTTATAAGGTTGCATCGGTAGTGGTGGTACTGTGTTACATAAATGAAGCTGTGTCAACTATGACAGTGGTAAAAGAATAGGAATTTGGATCGACCGTATATATTCCATTATCCGTATTGTGAATGAATGAATGAATGAAAAAGAATATGGGAAAGGTTTGTTCAACATTAAATCGATAATCGGTTAACTGATGTTTGTCTTTTTTTTCAGTCACTTTCAAGATATTTTGATAAGTAGATTGTATTTTTTTTGCTTTGGTTACACACGGACGAATACACACGCACATACACACAACAAAATTATAAATGATTGTGTTTGTTGCATCTTCACTTCTGTTTTCCTCCCTCTCTCTCTCTCTCCACTGCTCCTCTCTGTTTTATAGTTTTTATCGCTTTTGTCTGAAAACAGGACAATGTGATGATGGTGATAGTAATAATAATAATAACAGTTATGAAGAACTTGTATAGAGCACATGAAAGCAGAAGAAATGTATATGCCTAGTGGGAGTAGATAATTGAATACAATAACTCTGTTCACATTTGTTTTCCTTCCACTTGATTTATTTTAATAACTGACGGTAATTTCAAACTATTGTATATCATATCACGAATCAGTTTCGTCCTAGTTTTTGAGCCAGAATTCTAGTAGTATGGCTCTGAAACATGACCAATACGAGTTGAAGACATGAAAAAGTTGACTGTTTTTGATCATACATGTCTACGATCTCTTTCTCACGTTAGGTGGTATAATAAGTTAAGTAATGTTGACGTTAGGAGTAGAGTGTTGGGCAAAGAGGGAAAATCAATCGAAGAGGCTATAAAGTTACATAGATTGAGATGGCTAGGTGACGTGCTGCGCATGCCTAACCATCGCCTTCCCCGACGGGCATTACTAGCTGATATAGGTGCAGGTTGGAAAAGAGTAAGTGGTGCCATGCCAAACAAAAACATGGCATCAATCCATGAAATCCTTGACAGTTCAACTGAGTCAGGTAGGGAGATGCAGACTTCCGGGTTGGGGCCCTCGGGACTCTAAGAATCAATGACTGGAGACAATAGGTGACATGGCTCAAAATCGTTGTCAATGGCGCAGATGTATTCAGTCTCTGTAATCTTTCATATTCCTTTCTACCATCACTCATTCTGTTTCACTCTTATACTTGTCAAAACTCTATTGATTCTCTTCACCCATCTTCTTGTCTACCTTTGTGTGCTATTTGGAACGTGGCAACTTGAACTGCTGCACTTTGGTGCCAAGTTCTATTTTGAATCCAGACAGACAGACAAAGAGTGGTATGAGCTGATTCAGCTCTCTGATCTGAGTGTAAACCACTGTCACACCGGTGATCAGCTCAGTCCGAAGCAAGCAAAACAGCCGTCCAGTGTTTCGGACCACTTCTGTCTAGCTAGCTCCTCCATGATTGTCCACAGCCTTCCATCTCCCCTTTACATGATCTCCTTCATGTGTCATCCACAGACGCCCAACCCATCCCTGCTCATTTAGGCTTCACTCAACAGTCTGTCTGACGTGTCATGTCATTTGTGTTGTATCTCTCCTTAGTCTGCGTCTCGTCCATCTGTTATATTTCTGTCTGAATGGTATTTTGTAATACTTATTGTGTTTTAGGCAAAATTTGTATTCCTACATTAGTGTTTTTATCCTGTCATTGCTACTTTTAAATCGCATCAAATATTTTGTATCGTTATTTAGAAAAACTCTATCTACTAAACATCATCAGCATAGAGAATATTTTGCAATTTTTGAGATGTCCCTTAACTTATGGGCTAAAATTACTTTTCAATTAGATTTAAATTATGTTTAATTAACGCCCACGTAATCATATGCATACACATATGTACACAAAATAAAGTATAAAGTATGTTCAAAAATGTCTGTCTTATGCATTCATTGATTTATTTCTTAATAAACTTTAAATGTGACTATGCGTGTCCGTGTGTGTGTGTGTGTGTACAAGCTGACGTAATATTTCATAATGTTCCGACTATCTTTAAATGCATTTTTTCCCCCAATGCATTTAGGACATTACAATTTATGTTCGCGGTCCACACTGAAGTAGGCATTGACAAGTAGTCCGTTTTTATTTGAAATAACGCATAGACATACATACAAAGAGAGAGAGAGAGACAGAGAGGGATAAAGTAGATTAGAAACAAACAATATTAGCCCAGCTTCAATTTAGACTTTGTCACCTAATGAAAACAGTTGGCGAAACATTGCAAAATTAAGGAGCATTGAATAACTGTTTCATCTTAGCTTGTGACTCTTCAATGGTTGCCACGCACAACTTCAACTAGTGTATCGTACCCAGCAGCTTCAGGCTACTAGGCGATCATGTTACCGATGCTCCACTGGATTGAAATCAAATTTTACAATGTTACTATGCAGGGATTTCATTGGCTGCAGGTTTGATTTTTTATCGGAAAACCTTGGAGTACTGGACAGTTGTTTCGTCCCAGTACGCTTCAAACGTAAGACTCTGGACCATTGGATTGATCCTGAGTTCGAACCCCGGTGGGTGCTTACTGTTAGAAAGTCTTAAACAAGGCAGAGACACCTGTCCAGTACACTCTGCTTGTTTTCAATGGTTTTCTAACTGATGCTAATTCGTGATCGAACCCGAAATCAAATTATCTATGAATTCTGTACCTTTTGTCTGTTTGCGCGCACTGCCTTGGTTTTCAACAGTTCTCTGACTGTTGTCTAAATCTAAGTCCAAAAACTTACTGTTAATCTTCTGCTCATGACTGACTGGCTTCATACTGCATGTCCTGGAAATTCTCAATGAGAAATCGAAACTGGCAGAATCTACTGGGCTCATCAATGAAATTTATTTGGCATTGGTGCTATATCGTGAATTTACAGAAGTTACAATGCATCGGAGTATGAGTGGATAAACTTGATTGAATTTTTCCAAACTTTGACCCGATGTCTTCTGAAGTCATAACTCCTAAATGATAGACAGGACAAAACAGATGTCCAGTGAGAAAATGCTCCTCTAACTAATCTCGATTCGTGACAAAATTAATCATATCCGCACAATTTTAATAAAATCTAAATATTACTTGTTAATCATCTCGAAAGTTGGACTGAAATTGTGGTAATGAGGAGGGTCTTATAGAACATCCATTCAGCCCACGAGAAATCAAACGTCACCGACAGTTACCACTTGAGTTTCGACTTTTCTTCAGCATTTAACTGTCTGTGCACTCGGTGTTTCAGTGGTAGAATGCTCGCCATAGTTCGGGGTTCTATTCCTCGCCGATGCACTGCTCTTAAAGCATCACCTAGTCTACTTACCAATAGTAAAACTCATGAACGGAGGTTGGCGGGTGGGTAGGGGCAATCAACCACACCCCGTAAAACAAACCACTACTAAAACTTCACAGCTTGAAGCCCACTATCTTCCACTCGGAACGCAAAGCAATACAATAAATGATAGGCATTTCAAAATTTAAAACTTTTAGGTGATTTTTGTTGTTGTTGCTTTAAGCAAAAAAAGCGAGAAGAAACTCAACAAATTCGATTATTTATTATTTCCTTATCTGTTTAA